TCTTTCTTAGGGACTACTATACTAGAGAGTATACTCACCTACAAGGGGGACCCCTATGTCCACTGTTTCCCTTAACAAGGCAAGTATTGACAATAGCTCATAGTAAATATGAGGATCAAAAAGGAGTTACAGGACTCTGGCTTTTGTTTGAAACACTGTGGTATGCTTAAGAGCTGGCTTTCGGACGCTCCTCTACACGCAGAATACGCTCCAAAACTCACATATATAGCTCCAAACTCCAAAGCCTGCCAGGTCTCACCTGAAACCTGAAAGCGCGAGAGCTTTAAACCATTTCCGTAGGGCGCAAGGTTTGGGGCTAAGCCTCACCGTAACAAACGCCCCCTAAAGCCTATAGTATTCCTTGAGTAGATATGGGGTATATGGGGATCTTATTATAATATAGCCAGCCAAAGCCATATTCGATCTACTTAAGGGGGACTATAACCCCCTAAAACCTAACCCCCAAAAAACTTTAAACCCTAAGCCAAAGGCTTAGGATTCTGACCTTTGCGTTCCCTTTCTTTAAAGGGGCTAAAGCTTTGTGGTACGGGGCTTCGGGCTAAGGGGCCAGGATTTTGGGGGTATAGGCTTTACGGTACCTCAAACAAATGCCGAACAATGGCCTACTTCGGCTTTCAAATGAGTCAAAGGTCATTTTTGCCTGGTTTTCGAGATTCAGGTAAGTAACCTGAAGGGTCCAAGTACTCAAGTATTGGGGTATATTGGGGTTCTAGGTGCCAAAAACCTTTCATACTATCGTATCTGGGACCTGACACTCCAAAAATTAGATACTTGCACCCGCAACGTAGGAGCCACGTGCAGGAAAGCAGCCTTGAACCGACAAAATGTGAGAACTTCTGAACCTGAATCGCCAAACCCTCAACCCAGTCGGCAGCATGCCTCCGTCTCCAACTTCGAGCTAGACAGGCTACCCACGCCTACACCTATAATTAGGGGCATGGTCCCTGCAATAAGGATTATAATATATGGAGGTCTACATTTAAGGTTTAGGGCCTGGTTTAGGTTATAGCTCCTCTTTGGCAAACTGAGTTTCACATGGCGATTACTCGGCTTACCCACAGAAGAAGTCTGGACACATTGCACCACTTCCAAATCTGATGCACAGTTTGTTTTGGAAGCAAGGCCAGCCAACAAATCAGGAAGTTGGTCTTTGTACCCAACCCTAAACCCTAAACCCTAAACCCTAAACCCTTAGGGCCGGGATCCCTAAGCCATGGAATAGTGCCCTCCCTGAATACAATTGGGACCCAAAACCCAAAGTCACAAGCCTTCAGGGTGCCAACTTAAAGTGATTGAACAACAGACTGCTCCAAATGGGTAGGCATCGCTTCAGCATCATCCTTTGGTATTGGGACTAATTAGTCTTGCTCTTGCAGTGAGGGCCTTAAACCGGAATTTAGCCGAGGGTTAATGACATCTCGCAGCCCCAAAGACCCCGGAAACAAAAGGTGTCATGACATAAGAACCCTTACAACATGGGGTTGTGTGGTCCAGGATCTTGATGTTTGGGCATTGGGATGTATAGGGGTATACGCGGGGTCTAGGACATAGGGTCTTCACGCCTCTTGGTTCTTCTCCGCCTCCAACTGCATGATGTCCTCTGTCGCAGTGAGGTTGGGCAACCCTAAACCCTTAAACCCTTAAACCTTAAATCCTGAAACCCTAAAACCTTAAACCTTAGGGGGGCGCGGGACGGTTCCCAACATAGAGCGCAAGTTCTGGTAGTTTTCTCTCACTGGGGAACCTCCATTATGAACCCCAGTAACCATAATCCTTGCCATGCGGACCCCCTTCCTCCCCCCCCCGGCCCAAACAAGACTACTTTCTAGGGTGCCGGATCTTCTGTTCCAACCGAACCCTAAAAGCACGCAGCTTAGTCAAAGGGATACCAACCCTAGATCCTAACCCCTACATCGGTTGGACTTCGCATCCATCTTGAGGTAAGGCCCTGCAACATGAGGAGGACAACAGCAGAGTAGTAGAAGGAACACTGAGCACCAAGGTTCTAACAGCCCAAAGTCACCAGCTTGAGTTCCTAAATCTACCAGAAGGATTTGATTGGTTCTTTCGGAGAGGCCTCGCAGGGTTTTTCATGTTAAAGGCAGAACTGCCTACGAGTCTCCGATGACACTTTGCAAGCCGTTCCACTCCCTGTAGGTGCATTTTGGGGGGTACCCGAACGGATCCCAGTGATATTTCAAAGGGTGTAGGGTATAGGGGCATGCAAATAAATACGCTCATATCGTTTCAGGTTGGTTTGGGGTACCGTATACCAGGATTACGCAAGCAGTCTGAATTGCGCGGTATTGGTGGCAGGCTTCTACTTTACAACGCCTCTGACACCAGGACGGCACCGGGATTCTGAATTCAAGAACCTCCCCCACCGTCTTTGCTGACCCTCTTGAAAAAGCCTGCTGAGCCTGATTCTGATACCTTCAAGGCCCACAAGCCCCGACCCAAGCCCCTAACCCTGAACCTAAACTCTACAAAGGCACGACTTTACATCAAGCCGATTTCCCACCATCGCACAGGCCTTGAGAACTCTTTCCAGCTTCTGCTTTTCAATGACCTGCTCAAGCTTACTGGGAATTGGTAGGGAAGAAGGGGGTGTACTATACAGTGATTATATAGGGATGCTCTTCTCTTCTTCCCTACGAACCACCAGTATCCACGGCAAGGCCATAAGCTATCCAGTTTACGGTTTATTCCAGGATCTGATGAGTGTCGTTCCATGGACCTCCCAAATACCCATAAGAATCGCCTCTAGCCCGAAAACCCCGAACCCGAAACAAAGGGTGTCATCATTTCTCTTGTCCACATACCCTAATGGCCCCTAACCCAACAAAATACTGGGCATAATATATTACAGGCTATTCTTATGGCTAGGGCTTCCGGAGAGTCACAGGGTTGAAGCGGTCCCGGAACTGTCTTTCGGATTTGGTTAAGCGTTTAGGATTCAGGGCTTAAGGTTTAGTGTTTATAGGGCTTAGGGTTTAAGGTTTAGGGCTTAGGGTTTGTTGGCGTAACAGTCGTGTCCAGTCAACTGCATTAAGGGTATAAGGTCACCTACAAATGATGACAATGGGTGACTGGTATAGGGTTGGGGAAACACTCCAAGCTTGTTGTAGCGCTGAGGATATCTTGATTGCCAAAGCACATCAACAACACTTCCTTGCATTGAAATACAGGGCTCACCAGCAGTTCGATGGTGCTTCGAGTTGGGATTTGCAGCATGATCACAGTGGCGAGCAATGAGTTCGTCATAGATTTCAATCCGAATTTTATAGCAGGCACCAAATTAGGCACCCCTACTACAAGTGGGACACAGGTAGAGGGTCCCTCAAGCCTGTCGCATGAATTCTTCTAGGCAATTCTGCCCTGCGGGGGCTTTGGGCTGGTTTAGGTTATTGCATGTAGGGTAGCCTGAGATTGGTTCTCCAGAATGACATAGATATACAGTCAGTATGGTTCCTATCGAAACCTCGACCAGCAACCGAATCAATGAAGGCCGTAACCCTCATCCTACAACCCAGTCTTAGACCCTGAAGTTCCCCACATGTCCCCCAACCTAAGTAAGTCCCTACGACTCTAGGGGAAATGAGGATCCTTCTCGTGAACTTCCCACTTGAGCGTACATGTGGAAACCCGGAAATAGAAAGTCCCTAGCAGTTCTTGAATGTCGTGGGACAAGCCCATGTGAGTGGGTCCAAGCCAGTTGCTACTTCTCATAACTAAGTCCCCCCGCACACACACACACACACCTGGGACCGTAGCCAAGATTTTGTGTATTCAAGAATGAAACTGAGTGTTGGAAGAGTAGTAACAAGCGTGGCATTATCAAACATAAGAACAACAGTAAGAGCACTTGCAAAGTAATAGAGTCATAGTAATCATAGTAAGATTGGCTGTCTCACTTGCTTTAAACTCCAAATCTTTCTCCCCTACCCAGCGACCCCCACCAACTCTCCAAGAACAAGCCATAATACCACAACCGAAAACTAAATCAACCCGCTCTAGACTGCTACAGGAGATCAGGGACATCTTGTGCCACGCTATATACCTGGAACCCTAAGAGCTACAGGACAGGGGGGAACCCAAATGGTGCTGCATTTCCTCCGTCCACCCTAAACACCCAAATCAGAACCGTAAGTGCTGAACTCCAAACTCTAACGCCTAAGTAATACACGAGTTTCCATTTTCACGTCCCATCTCTTATCATCCCTATGTAATTCCTGTATAAACCGAGTGTAAACCCATTACAGCCCCATACATTCCTGTCTAACCCTTATCCTTAGCCGTGGTGACCTGGTGCATGAGGAGCTTGGTTTTCTGCTTTTTTAGCTTCGACCTGGCTGACATTTCGCCACGTGAGAGTTGTTCAGAAGACTAAAGGGTCCGTGTAGCTATACAGTATAGGGTTTGGGGCTTGGCTTGAGTTTAGGGTCTTATATTATAGATTGGGGTTCCAAAATAGTTACACTAGAGCTCCCTCGGAGCCGAAGTATATGTTCATATACCTGCATGAAACTTTTGGGAAGTAGAGTTTAGATTTCAGATGTATCGTGTCTTCATTGGACTTATGCGATCTTCATAAGGGGAATGGAAAAGACAATCTTAACTACTATATTGTTTAGGGCTTAGGATTCAGGGTTCAAGGCTTAGGATTCAGGGCTTAAGGTTTCCAGGCGAAGTAAATATTACGAAAAATGGATACTGGAGAATGACATGGAACGTGATATGAAAACTGGGTTCAGGAGCTAGGTAGGTATAGCATGATTGTTGTAAGTTATAAGAAACTATAGGTCAGTGCATAACTTAAGGTTCCGCTTTCCCAGGTCTGTTCTACAATGGCACGTCAAACCCATCGAAATATCATCTCTTCAGCTTTTAACCCGGACCTCCCATACCCCTGCGTGTTAGTAAGAACGCCGCCCTAAACCCTAAACTTCAAACCCAAGCCCTCGGTCCCCTTTTAGCACTCAGCGTACGCTGCGTAGCAGGCACATTCGGCGCACCTGGGCTTGCTAATCTTTCTGCCTAGAGGTAGGTATATGGGAAGTATGTAGGTGTTTCATAGGGCTAAATAGGGCCAAGGAAATGGCAACTACCATTGAATTTACACCCAGTTTCAGGGATGGATATAGTGGTTTCCAACAAAGGGGGATCCCTGCCTAAACCCTAAACCCTAAACCCTGACCCACCAGAAATATAGTCCTCACTGTAGGTATCGCTTATAGGGGACCCCGAATTTATGGAAACCTGCTGCCTACGTATGTCAGTCCCATGAGATGCCTCTAAGAGGCCCGCCCACACCAAGCGCTAAACTGCGTTGCTTTTAATTTAAGGAGCTTAGATGAAGTCCTATAGTGGTTGTTTAGGGTTTAGGGTTTGGGGAAACCCATTACCTACTATATGCCCCTAAGATGGTAATCCAAATTAAGTCTCTTAACATCAACCCAGTACATCTGAAGCCTTACCCAGAAGTGGGTGCAAGTAGCTATGTAGTGTAAACTTGGGCACAGAAGTAGTTACACGGGAACCTCATTGTGCCTTGAGTATATATCGTATACCTACATGGACCTTTTGGGTTACAGTAAGACGCCTACGTAGACGCGCAAGAGCGCGGTCTTTTTATAGTGGTACCAATCTTGCTCGTTATATATTATTCTTAGTTTGGAGGACCCCTGCCCCTGTAATAGTGACCACAAACAGAAGCACCAGAAATAGCACCAGCAAAATGCTGTAAAATGGTGCCATGGCTGATCACACCTCACCCTGAAGCCTTCAGGGATGGGGTTGGGTGGGGTGGGCGGTTGGAGGGGGGGGTCCTCCAAAATTCTTAGGCATAAACGATATTGGGTTGTCAAGGTGCACTCTGCAAGCCCCGCCACTAAGGCGTTGCTAGCCACACCCCAGGCTCACAATGAACTCTCTCATCTTCTAATGGCAGGTAACTAATTTTCGACATATCAGTAAGCTTAAGAACTATGGCCACCTGAAACATACTACAGGAGATTTTGTGACAAACTCCTATACCTAGCAATCTTGCCTCGGCCGCAGAACCGCCTCAAATCCCTGAGGGCACTTTATGCTGACACGCGAACCAAGTTCTGATAAGATCCCACACGACATTATGCCCTATGCAACCTGCCTTTACCTTTGGACGTCAGGAGTTTGAGCAGGGCTCATTCAAACCTGGCTTCCCCCAGCCAGGAAAATTGAACCCGCTAGACCCTACACCGTCCCAGAAAACCGGACATGCTCACTTCCAAACCCACTAAGCCCACAACGGCTACCCCACTAAGCCTTAAACGCTCGATGGCAAATCCCCAGCTTTTAGCCCTCAACGCTCATTAACCCAAGTGTTCTAGAATCGGGTACTTGGGCTTGGGATAGTACAATGGTTGGGGATGTATATGATGAACCTGCTCTCGCACCCTGAAGTCCAGACCGAAAACACCCTAACCCGTAAACCCCAAACCCTCAACCCTAGACCATCCTAACCCCTAAAACCTCAATTCTACATCCTGATCCCTAACCCCAGACCCCTCAACCGTGCTAAACCTTAAATTCTAAACCCTAAACTTTAACTCCTAAGCCCCAGAGAGTACCGGGAGACACTTTGAAACCACGCCGACGAGCCCAAGCCATGCCGGAAGGGATCTCGAGTCAGGGTTGAGAGGGTTTAGGATAGGTTTAGGGTCCAAGACATGAGGTCTTCCTAGACCTTCCATTGTTTTGGGGTAAAAGGCTGTTCTTTATTGGTATTTGCGAGGTCTAGCTAGATTTAGGTTTTGGGAGCAGCGTTTCGGGTTTGAGGGTCAGGTCAGGGTTGATGAGTGAGCGCTACATGACCTAGCGTAATCCCTATGCGGTCCCCATGTATGACCCCTACCTTATGTATTATTGCCCATATAAACTACTGTCCGAATGTCTCATGCCATGTGGACAGGGGTCTTCTTCGTGACCGGGACCATATGGACCCTTCTTCCACCCTTTGTGCTTCCCGTGTTGTTCAGAGTTGGGTCTTTGAACCATATGTGCATAGACGGTATAATTAACACACTCTTCCGGGCCCTTCGCTGCAAATCCTTGGCAATAGTTGAGCTTCGCAAATTAATTTCTTCCTGGCAACTTTTTTGTACTCCTTTACTCACCTAGTTGGGACCGTTGTGGGGCCTGTGGGGGTCCATAAATCGGGGATACTGTTCTGGTCTTTTTTTTGTATTCCAACGAAATGGGTCCCTAGGTGTTCTGACCGTCACTTTAAACACGCACATGTTGCATGATCATTGATGCTGCCTTGAGCACTCTTGCTTACCGACGCTCCAAGATTTTTAACGGAGATATACACAGACATGTAAACGTACCTCCGGTGCACAATCTTTTGCGAGCAGAGGGAGAGACATTCACGAGACGCTCGATAAGTTGGGGCACCCCCGCTTCTAATTTTGGGAAAACCTCATGTACATATAGTCATATAGTTATGTATATACATTGCCCGGATATACTCAATCCAATCTTTCCTTCTATGGCAGCCGAGGCGCAGCCCCAAATCTGGACCTTAAGCCCCAAATGAGTTAGGTTTGGGCTTAACGGAAACGCGAAACCCCGAACATGGAATCATAAAACCTATCTCGAGGTCCTAGCCAAGGTTTAGGATTTAAACGCTTTAGCGTTTATAGGGTTTAGGGTTTATAGGGTTTAGGGGTAAGGATGTACTGTACACATGTGTAGGTGTTGCGGGGGAAAACTGACACCAGTATCAATTCCATAGACCCCACCCAAACCCTAAAAGCACTAAAATCTCCTAACCCTAAATCCTAAAAGACCTTGTGGACCACTATACAATCCCAGCTTACATGTCATGACCCTTACCTGAACCCAAAAACAAGGTAAAATGATGGGCCGAAACCCTAATTACGTATAAAAAGAGCTCAAGAACCTGTTGTTCCAGGTAAGCCCTACCACATTGTGTATATACCGTCCCCCGCAATAGAGTAGTTTCCATTTTTCAACTCCCTGAACCACTCTACATGCCTCCGCGAGTGAACACTCTGCAGCTTCGTTTCTTCAACAACCTGGCCCGAAAAAAAAGGGCTCAAACAGCGTTGTAAACCAACATATACCTACCCCCAAACCCTAAACTCCCAAACCCCAAACCCCCAAGCCCTGAACCCTATACCCCCAAATGCTAAACCCATCTTTTAAGGTCTCCCTGTCACTAAATCCCAAAGCTTAAACCCTCAACCCCTAAACCCTAAACCCCTAACCCCTCGCCCTAAACCCTAAACAGCTGCACCTGGAGGGATCGAGGCAAGGCCTCCGGTGACTGCCAGACCGAGTTTAGTCTGCCTTAGCTCTCTGAGGGTTGAGGGTTGAGGGGTTAGGGGTTTAGGGTTTAGGGGTTTAGGGTTTAGAGCTTGGGGTTCAGGGTTTAGGGCATCAATGAAGGCCTTGTAGGGATTATAGGGACTACTGGTAAGTGGCAAGGTTAGGGGATTTTAGGGTTTGGGGTTTAGGCTTATAGGAAGGAATAGGAAAGAAGCTGTTCAGTACAGTACGGTATATTGACTTCAAATAGGAAGCTTGTATAGCTTATGGAACTGAATCTCGTTTAAGCATTAGGGTTTATAGGGCTTGTAGAGTTCCAATGGCTTAGGGTTGAGGGTTGCTAGTACTTCTTGGGGTTCAGCGTTCAGGGAATGAAAAGTAAAATGCAACCTATGATTTATTGGGGATTACCAAATGACAATGGTATGCATATATATCTGCGTAGCATTCGTGCTACTCCGACGGCATAGGAGGGATTAGTGGGCTTATATAGGGTTTATTGCATTGAGATAGCGAGCTTATGGGCTTTATAACGCAAATAGTATTGCCATTCGTATTAGGGTTGTGTAATGAAGGATCAAAAGGGAAAAAGAAAAATGTGACGGCAACCATGACTTGCATAGGAAGTATATAGAAATATATATATATATAACATGACGCACATACCTTACCTCTGGCTATTCGGGAATGGAATTCAAGAAGAAAGTGAAAGGGCAAATCCGCTCTTCCTGAACCCTAAACCCACATCAAGCCAAAAGAGCCAACAAGGATCTTCAGCTTCAGACCATAAGCCTGAACACCAACCCACCCCTGAACCTCCCTAAACCCCCAAACCCCCTAAACCCGCAACCGTACACTGTCAAGCCTTTGGCCTAAACCCTAGAAAACCCTAAAGCCTGAGCCCTCAACCCCAAACCCTAAATCCTAAACTCTAAACCCTAAATCCTAAACCCTAAACCCTGAGCCCTAGACCCCAAACTCATACCAAAGCTGCGGGTGGGACAACTGCCAGGCCCTTCCGGCGACCTCGACCCGACCGTCGTTCCGCGAGGTGTAATCTGCAGACAAGGTGGCCTTGCCAAACTTGTAGGTTGTAGGGTTTAGGCTTTCAGGATTTAGGGGAGTTTACGTTTTAGGGCGTAGATTGTTGATATGTTGTAGGGCAAACGCCGTTCCTGTGAGGGGCGACGCAAATTTGCCCGTCTCCTCGCATTATGAATCAAAAAGCCCTAAGCCCTCAACCCTGCGCCGTAAACCCACCCAAGACACAAACCCCAACTACCCCCTGTCGCTTTTGGAATCCCTGCCTGACGATATTCCACCTACCTACCTACCTACCTACCTACCTACCTAATGAGGAATCGCCAAATGATATCAACTATTTATTGAGACAATGCAAGTCTGACATATCTTAACATTACACTTAAGGCAAACCCGGTGGTACTTAAAAGGCACCCCCAAATTAGTAAGTGCCCTTCTAACTAAAGCCGTAGGGTATCTTGTGCATTATCCGACAGTGCCACCAGGGTTGAACAAATTGTGACGAAAAGCAGCTCCACATCCGGCCTAGGATCGTAACTGCACAGTGTCCATGTAGCTATATCGTCTGTGTAGTATATACTTACGCCCCAAAGCAGTTGCATGGGAGCCTCTTTAGGTCGTACGTATATACTGTATACCTACATCATAGACCCATCGGGCTAAGGAGAAGTCATGTGATAAATGCCTCAACTGCTCGAAGTAAGTACTCGGCACCCAGAGCGGGGTTCAGGATTGTGACCTTTGGCAAGATTCAGAGCACCTAGACCTCCCAAGTAGCCTTGAACCCCAACCAAACCCCAAACCCCAACCCGCATGCGCAGCATCTTGGGTTCAAGAGGACATACTTATGAGGAACTGGGAGGGTTCAGGGTAGGCTGGCTCAGAATTGAACGTTCAATACGAGGTTTGAGGAGGAGGTGTTGGTTCTGAATATGTAGGGTGCACCTGGACACTACGGAGCACATCGTTTAATGGTTCTGTAACCTCACAAACCTAGCGAAGCACTTGTACCTTCGACAAAAAGCTTTGTGCCTACGCAAGATGTTGTATTTTTTAGCTTTTGTATGATGTTACTTCAGGCACAGTTCAGGATTGAGGGTGGCTCACTTCCGGGCCTACTATCTCCAAAGATTGGTCGGGTACTGCCCCCACCCCGTATCAGTCTACAATAGGGCTATTAGTAAGGGGTAAGGGGGTTATGCACATTATAATGAGTATTATCCAACTGTTGGCAGAGTGGGGGCAGTACACAAGGGAGTGGTGCCTGAGGTGTTAAGGGCGATAGCCCGGTATTCGTTCAGTACTGTAACTACCGGAACCTTCTCGCTGCTTGGGCCGTAAGGGCTCTCCCTTCCAAATTATGTATCATCAGGATAGCTTGCATTTTGTTCTCGAGGTTGCTTTCAGTATTGTTAGAGTCACCGTACCAAATGAGGATTCTACTTTGAATGGTGGCGGGTCCATGTAGGGATTTGAACGGACTGCTTCGCATGCTCAAGACTGGTTCAACATTGGCAAACTTCAAGCTCTAGGTCTCTTGCTCCTTATTGGACAAAAGGAAGATGAAAACAACATATTTTCAGCTGTGGGCCAGAAGAAGACTGGCCTTTCAACACAGAACCCTCCAAAAAGGACAACCTTCAAAGCTCACTGCGGCCCGCAGTGGCAAGAGGTGGCAGCACCGGGGAAACAGCAGAAGCCTCGGAGTTCGAGGGTCGAAGCCTGCCCGACGTTATGATCTGAGCAAGGGTCTGGGATTTGGATTGATGGAGAATCAAACGGAAGATGAACGGAAAATGAAATACAAACTGGGTGTTCCCTCAGGGCTTGGAAACCGTCGGTTTAGGGTTGCCTCTGTGTCCAAGTCCAACATGGGAAAACACTCTGTAATGCCAATGCACCACCCTAAACCCTGAACCCTAACTAGATTAAAGTCTCAAGCCCTTTGGGAACAATAGTTGTTTACATATATATATATATTGAGAGTTTACCGGCATGGTAGTTCTTGTGAAGTTTAAAGTCCTTTGTTCTGGGACCTACAAACATGGACCGACAAGTTTTTTAAATCCCCAAATGGACCAACAAGCTTAATTCTAAACCCTATGGCAAGGTCAAAGCAACAACCGGGTTTGTAAGATGCCTGGCCAACGCTGCACCGCAACCTTTGCAGACACAAATCGAGCTGTGGTCACAACTGCTGATACAAGGTAGTAAGCCTAGGGTTCAAGAAGCTTGTTGTTTAGAATTAGGGTGTAGGTTTTAGGGTTTAGGAGGTAGGGTTGGGGATTTAGGGTGTGCTTAGGGTTTAAAGCGCCAGTCTCCAAATATTGCTCTGTATGCGAGTATGTCAACACCTACAAGCTCATGTCTTGAGTGTCTAGTACGCTAGCTGGAAGCGCCAACCCTAAGCAACCCCCCACATCCTCAAGCCCAGGCATCAACACCCGAAACCCCGAGCCGCAATCCCAAACACTAGACCCTAATTCCTATAGCCCAAATTCCCTGAAACTTAAGACCCTAAATCCGAAATCCTAAATACCCAAAGGGCCACTACGTACTGTTGATGCAACAGTCCTGCATTACCCAAGTATACATCCCTCTTGTAAAGTCCTATGGGTCATGCAGGCTTTCTAGCATCCACCATAAATACCGACCCTCAGCCTAAACTGAATCCATAAGCTCCAAACCCCAGACCCTAAATCACAAAACAATTGAATCCATAAACTCTAAACCCAAGAGCCTTAAATCCCAAAACAACTAACACCATAAACTCCAAACCGGAAACCCCCAGATCCCTAAACGCTACACCCTACATACCCCTCCGTAAACCAAAAGTCTAATCCGGAACCCTAAGCCGCTAACCCTAAACCCCTAGACCCTCAACCCCTGAACCCCTAAACCCTCAACCCCTAAACCCCTAAACCCTAAACCCCTAAACCCTAAACCCCTACACCCTAAACTCCTTCAGCCCTTCGCCTCGTGGCTAATCGCGCTGCCAGGCCCAGGGAGGCAGTAAGTCCGGTACTCCTGTGTTTAGAGGTTTAGGGTTTGGGGTTTAGGGGTTTAGGGTTTGGGGTTTAGAGTTCAAGGTTTAGGGGTTAGGGTTCAGGGTTCCGGATTAGATTTTGGGTTTAAGGATCTAGTGTTGGGGCTTGACAGGACTTCTTACTCGTTGTACTCATAGAAGTTATCTTGGGACCAAATAACCATTCATAAGAATTTAGGGCCTTAGGATTGGAGCCGGGTCTCCGATTGGTTAGAGCCGCTGGTTAGCAACGGCCCTCCTGTTCCATTTGTTCGTTATCACCCCACCCTCCTACAATCTTTTCCATGCCCGATCTCACAGTCAGTTTCCATTTGGTGGTTACACCCGTTGGTTTTTCCCATCGCTTTGTGAGTGGCGTTGAATCCTTTATCCTGCGTTCATTTGGTAGCGAACGTCCTGCTCCGCAAAATGTCCGGGGATAAATCCCATTGCACTAACTACATGCAATGCCATTCTCTCATCTTTTTGGTGTTGGATACTCGGCTCAGTGGTGGTGGTGGTGGTGGTTGCAGCAGTGTTGGTGACTGGGGCCATCTGTGCTGACAGCGGCTTGGTCTGACTAAGTTTCGGCATAAGCTTTCAGACTTGAGGGTCCGGGGTTATGCTAACTGTAACCCTCTTCACACAATTTCCAACAGGGTTTGCAGAGATAAGGTGCGTAGACACACGTCCACGTTCAGGTGTATGGTTTTTAGCTGCCATTTCTGAAGGCAAAGCAAAGAAGTAGGTTGAGACTCAATGTCGGGGACCGCTGGAAACTTCCGGTGTCTGAGAATGCAAGTTGACGTTTACATCTATCATCCCCGGAAAAGCACAGCTTATGTATATGTATATATATATATATATGCATACAAGCAAACTCTCTGCTGAATCCCACCCATCTGCTGCGTACTTGGCAAAGGTTTTGCTAAGTGATAACCTGTCAGAGAAGGTGGAGAGCCAATTCCGGAAAAAAAAATGTAGTGTTGGGGGGCACGCTGTATTGGTGCGTTCCCTTACACGTATCTAGCAAACCTGGACGCCTAAACACCTGCAAACAGACTTCTTACAAGAAGCATATTATGTTTCAGGCTGGCCGATGAAGGTGATATTCACAATGCATTAGGGTGGGGGGGGCGGCGGGGCGGGGGGGGTTGCGGAACCATCACAACAAGGGATCTCCACGTGATTTCCTTATCAAGTACAAGGCATGACGGCAATAATGCGAACCTTAGATGGCCCGTAACCTAGCATCATCATTGATTAATCGCCCGAAAAGTGCAGAATTCTTGGAAGATGGAAAAATTCAATATCATGGCCGAGTCGCGCTCAACTTTGCCGGGGAACAAACAATCACGACATGCTTTTCCGGGCCTGTACACTAAATCCAGACAAGCACCCAAACTAAACCTTCAGCTGACCGCAAGAGAGCGTTCAAGAGCATATAGTGTGGGAGCCTCCCCGAATCATAATCGCATTTCTGTGGGACGCGATACTGCAACACGATGCTCAGAAGTGCAAGGTTTTTCGTCTGCGAAAAGCACCCCTAACCAAGCCATCAGACCCCAAATGTGCGTCCGAGTGCCCCACCGAACTCCAGCAACTGTGCTCCATCCCTGCTCCATGTTGGTGTGCCTCGCTTGCAGCATGGCAAAGGTAACAATACATAAGAATGTCACCAAATGCAATGACAACATCAAATTGTACATCATAAATTACATTCCCAATTATACCAACCGAGGGCTTTGTTGGCCGCTTTGCCGTTAATGCGTCAGGTCTGTATGATGCGGTATGTGGTTGAAACATGACACCTGGCTTCCAATCAAATTCATGCACTGCTCATGACGGTTGCTGAACACAAGTCCTAAAGAGCCAACAACTGAAGCAATGTTAGCAAGATAAATCAAAATCAAAATACGGAGGTTACAGCCCAAGCTCTCAAAGGCCAGGGCTTTTGACGCTCATAGAACGAAAGCTTGACCAATAACGACTTACATCCATCCCCTCACATCCAAAGCCAAGCCTACACGTACAGCCGGGCCGCAAAGTCATCTTAAAGTTTGCTTCGCCTGCCCGAATAAATTTTCAATCTTATTGCAATCAGCAGTTCAGTTAGAAACAAACCTTTCGCTCAATCTGCAATGGATGTCAGGCGACATTCCAGTTGAATCTGACATGCAATGCATATATCAACCAACATCAATCACTGACACTACATGAAAAAAATCAGCTATACATTTGCTGCATGCGCTTAAAGCAAAAAAAAGCCTTTGAAAATAATTCTTGGGCGTGTCCGGCGCTGCGCCAGGCATGGCCTCGATTCGAAATCTGACGCTGGACTATCCAGAAACCTGAAATTGGACAGCTGTATTGCAAACAGATCCCCTTCGGTGTTGAGCTCAGCCTATGGTAGGGAAAAAGCCGGCTGAGATCTTAAAATTTGTTTTTTTCCTACAGGTCCCTAGGTCCCAGAAGCCCGAAAAGTGGTTAGGAAAAAAGCCAGGAGCACCCGGCCTTTTCCCAGGATCATAGGGTGGGTAAGCCACCTAGCTTTTGTTACCCCGGTACTGGGCGCCTACCTCTCATTCCAGTTATATTCAGGCTCTTTCCAAAGGTGTGCTTGGTTCTTTCGGTGATCCCCGGACATATTGTTTGTCATGCTAAATCGTGATGCCTGGGACCCCGCTTTGCTGAAGCTCTGACAGACACTGCGAGGCGAGGAAAAGTTGTGAGCCCTACCTACTCATCCTAACAGGATCCCACAATGGAGGCTACAGCCCGCAATAGCCCGGCACCGAGCTAACGTTCAAGAATGTGTTTCTGGCTTTTTTCCTACGCCCCAAGCCCTACAACATAATCTCCATAATTGTTCAGCTTGGCTTTTTTCTTAAAACTGGCTGAATTAGAACCAATGGGTTTAGGAAAAAAGCCAGGAGCACGGAAGGGGGATCAAACAGCTGCAATACGCAGATTCCAGAATTCTGTGATTCGTGCAAAAGGCATGCATTCCACGCGTTCCTTGCTCCGAGACATTTCAATGAAGGAAGTTTCGAATTGCTTCCTAAAACCACGCAAGTGCTAAATTACCGCTACCCTAACTTTCTGAGAAATCACAAACGAGACATGAAAAGGTAGACCTTGTACCTGCGTGAGATCCCACAAAACTGTGAAATATGCAAATTATACGCTGTTTATACGATACCCCCACAAACGTGGGCCCTCAGGGCGCAATTTGATGTCCAAAAAGGCTGCTCAAGAAACTTGTCTTTCATAAACGACCACGGCCAAATCTGAACTTCATGAGACAGCTTGGCAAGCATTTCGAAAGTCTACGACCCAATCTAACTACATTGCAACCACGTCCACGTCATTAAGTGCCGGAGGGCAATTCGAGAAGCAACTGCAGAATTGGTGCAACCAAATTACGTAACACTTTGTTGATTCGCTGATTGAATGGTACACCTTGTTGTGGTGAGAACACCACTGCATTTCAAATTCGCAGCATGTGGTCTATACCGGGATCCAGCATACTCCGTCCCAAAAGGTCCGTGCAGCTAGCATATACTCGGGCCCCAGAACAGTTTACACGGGACACGCTTTGGGCCCCAAGTATATACTGCCCTGAGTTCTGGACCCTAAACCGTACCTATATGGACCCTTTGTGTCCCTGGAGGTCCATGCGGAGTTCGCCACAATTCGGGAACGGAAAACCCTGTACTGCGACAACTTGGAGCCTTGGAGCTTCATGAGACTAAGTAAGTACTTAAAGCTGGATTATAGCCATGCCTATAGAATGACTGGAGGAGGGGACCCCCACCCTGTAAAAGTGGCATACTAGCAATTTATGAGGACCCTAATATCGTCCTTATTATTCCTTATCCCCACTATAGGGGGTGTCCACCCGAAGAATGCCATTAATGAACCCTAAACCCTGAAACCTAAACCCCAAACCCTAAACCCTAAAACCCTAAACTCTAAACCTCCAAGAATTTCCTGACAGTGCCCTGCAACTCCCAAGTGGGAGCTTCCCCTCCAAGGGGCTCATAAGGGATACATAGGGTCATATGGTAGTCATATAGGGGTCATATAAGGCTATATAGGGTTGTATAGGGCCTATTAAGGTTATGTAGGGTTTCCGCAAATTTGGGGTACCTTGTTGGGGGTCCCCGTAGTCTTTTGGGGTTTATATTGGGTCCCCCCTATGTTGGGAAAGTACCAAGCAAATCCGCACTCACAACACCCTAGGTTGCATGTCGGTCTACGGTACATGCACAAGGCCCCAAAGGGCGCTACTATGCAGGCTCTTCGGTGTCAATGTACATACTGCCATAGTTACCCCACAGACCTGGGAGCAGGCGGATGGATGGACTTATGAACGCTCGGTTGCCCGGTTCACGGGTTCGCGAGTTCGCGCGAATACCGCGCGCTATCATGTTCATGAGTGGATGGATGTGAGGCTCATTTTGGACAAGGTGGTTCACACGTAACAACTGCTGGAGCGTTGCGCCGATGACTTGTGGCACAATTGATGCGGCTATGAGGCCCAGGGGCTTGCTTTCGGGTCACACGACTTTAGAAACGGCTACTTGGCATCAAGGTCGCCAAACATACACTTACGTCTGTTCCGCCCGTCCTGCACAACACAACGGTCAGCAAACAATCAACACACCTTGTCAGCATGGAAGAGCACACAAGCCACAATTGGCAAACGGCGAACTGGATGGTCTTTGACAAGCGCTGAGCATGAGATTCACGATTGCTAGATTTCCAGGTGTAGTGTTTGATTGTAGGACATCTGACAACATCAATGCCACCCTGCATATTGAGGGGGGGGATCTGCAGGCGAGGTGCTCAATCTAGATCCCAATATGCTAAAGTCCCTACTCAGGGGCTCCCTAAACAGGACCCCCTTTGCTTCTGCTGGATAATCCCCATATCAGCAAAAGTTGTGACGCAATTGATCACGTGGAGGTTCGTACTCCTTGTTGGGTTCTGGTAGAGCAGGAACAAACACCCAGAGGGATTCGAAATGAGATGATATAACAGTTACAACCAATGTCCTGGTAGTGCGAAGCTACCCCGTGAGCCTCAGTTCAAGGCCCAACCCCCAGCCCCCAATGGTGTAAGCTTAGACCTCGCTTTCAGACAGACCCTTACTTACACCTGGATGATTGAAATTAGGTGTTGGGTTCGAGTACACTAACCCTACATCGGACCTGCGTCAGAGCGGCAGTGGTCCATCTACCACCGATCAACCGATTCACGCCCATATCTCAATAACACCCCACCAGTGAAGCTCTTCGGTTGTAGATAATACCCGCATTGGGCCCAAAGGCCATACCCATCACCTACATTGAGCCATTTGAGCCCTAAAGTGCACTAACTCACATACTGAATGCTGGCAAGCCAAAGCACACGAAGAAATCCGATCCAAACTGGCTGGGCTTCAGTGCAGGTCGTAGGCCTGTTTTGAGGCTTGGGTTTTTTGTCTTAGAGGAAGCTGGTATGCAGAAAATGTGAGCGCCCCCGAATGGGCAAGAGGCTGAGGGGGGTTTGGGCCACGTGAATTGGAGACTGTGATTAGGTGAGGCCACATATACACGAGCAAGTAACATGTCTAGGTTTCAACAAGATCGCAAGAAACCTCCTTACGCGGGGTGTGACTTCGCCCAAAAACATCTCTACCCCAATCAAGGGATATCATCCCAATAATGGATAAGCTATTGGAAAAGAACATGGAAAGCCTCAATGGAAACTAGAGTTTAGGTAGTTTATATAGGGGTCTATTCCTTAAGGGCTAGCTCAGAAAAGTACCCAGCTCTCGCTAGCCATAATGACCGGTCGCAGGACTAGAAGGGGGTTGTGAGAGACCTAGAACCATGATATAAACCTGCTAAACCCTAAATAGTGGCTTCCATTTTCATCCCTACATAACCCTATATACTCCTATGTATACCTATATGGTAGTTTCCCTAAATTACCGTTCCCAAAATGGGGGAAATTTATATAGGGCCCCGTATTATAATGGGAACCCAAGTATAGGACCCCGTATTATAGGGAATTTAGACCAATCCCCATATACTTATTTAGGCCCTACAGTACCCTGCCTGGATCATACAGAATCCGCCTGAGGTTCTTCCGCGCAACACCTAGAATACAACCCACAGCCCCAAATGCTATAGTCCCCCTTAGGTAGATAGAATATGTGGTATATGGGGATCTTGTTATAATATACCCAAAGCCATAGTCTATCTACTTAAGGGGGACTGTATACCTAAACAGGCTCCGCACGGTCAAGGCATGCCAAGGCTTCCTGTGACCCCCTAGACCTTCAACCCTAATCCCTGACCCCTGGAACCTACAAACCCTGATGCCCCAAAACCTAACACCCTGAACCCTAAAACCTAACATCCAGAACCCTAAAATCTAAAATCCTGAACCCTAAGCACTGAACCCTAAAACCTAAAAGCAAGCAGCGCCTGCATAGGTGCCAGCCACAGCCCAGCTTGCAAGCGCGGGACACACCTGTAAGGCCTCAGGCGAAGTCTCTGCATGGGGCGTAGACATTTAATTACACCCATACTGGAAAATCAAAAGGAAAATGAGATGGACATTGGAATAGAAGGTGGATTTGCAGACGGATTTATCATGATTATCCTCAATAACTACCAATATCATTGGAGAGATTTTTGAGATGTCCTACACGATTGCG